TTCTGAAACTGAAAAGGAAGAAATGAACAATGCACCTTATCGCCGTCTAATTGGTTCGCTTATGTATTTTTCTGTGTTTACTAGGCCGGATATTGCATATGCCGTCAGTCACCTGAGCCAATTTAATAACAATCCTGGAAAACTACACTGGTTGGCTGCAAAGCGCGTTCTTCGATACTTAAAAGGAACTAAAAATTATTGTTTAAAATTTCGAAAGACTGGAAAAGCACTTATTGGATATACTGATGCCGACTGGGCGTCTGATGTTAATACTAGAAAATTGTATACAGGTTACCTATTCAAGTTTGCTGGAAATCCAATAACATGGGAATCACGAAAGCAACAAACTGTCGCATTATCAAGTACTGAGGCAGAGTACATCAGTCTTTCAGAAAGTGCCAAAGAAGCAGTTTATTTACATCGTTTCCTTAAAGAATTAAATTTTACTGCTGATTATCCAACCATTATATATTGTGTTAATCAAGGTGCACAAAAGCTTATGAAAAATGCTGTTTATCACTCACGCACTAAACACATAGATATTAGACATCATTTCATTCGTTAAATTTATGAAAGAAATGAAACAGACGTTAAATATGTGCCAACAGAGAAAATGCCTGCTGATGTACTGACAAAAAACATTGACTGCTTCGAAACATTCTAAGTGCTGTAAATTAATTGGAATAACTGTAAATGATTAATGTTTATTTTTTTTTCAGCCGCCAAACGTCGAAAGGGGGATTGTTGTATCATAAATTATAATACGACGTTTAGCTTAAGAGAGCTTCTCGTGACGCATGCGCCGTTCGCGTTTATCCGCGCGGTGATGATGACGTAAGTGTTTATTTCTTATGTATGTATATGTGTATACCATTCTTACTTCTTCGCCCTTTTTCTCTGCTGTACGCAACTATGTTTAAGTTAATCTCTGTCATTAAAAATGTTCATTGATATTACAATCTATTTAGGCTCATTTATTTCTTCAGGTACAAAACATCGTGGGAGAAAAGAAAGCAAAGAGAAAACATATCAGTTCTAAAAACACCGTAGTACAAAACGTCATCGAAAATAAAGCAGTTCAAAAACTTTGCAGTTTAAAAACATCGTCATAAAAAATATCGTAGTAGAAAATAAAGCACCTACAAATCATCTCACACATGCGTTTTTCAGGTTTTAAAAGTTGTAAATGCCTTTTCGAATAATGATTTGGGAGCATAAATGATCTGGATGAGGAAGGAAAGAGGGATATTTTTACTTTTATTGTTAATTCTTCCACAAATTTGTGTTTTGCAAAATATATATAAAGCTGATTATGTATTATGAAGCTGAAAAATTCTATTTTTTCAGACATAAATTAAAGTGAAGATGAAAGGAAAGTAATAACTTTTTAATCTTTCTATGTGCTGTTTACCTTTTTCTACTCCCTTTTTAAAATTTCTTACTAGAACTGTACTGAACGCTGATAACACTAGTTCCAATAAACATGCAAATTTTTTGTTCTTCGTTACCGCAATTTTGTACGCTTTTTGTTTCGAAAATAATACCTTTTTAAAATTTTCTAATACTAGGGCGATACATTTTCTCTCCTGGTTATTCTTGTTTGGAAAAAAAAGTCCTTCCCTGAATAGCCTCTCGAACCTACTCTAGGTCAAGAACAGAATTTCATTGTTTTTTTAGCATCAATGTTTTATTATCTAGATTTTCGTAGCGTCAGCTATTTTTATTTCAATGTAGGGAGTCCAATGGATGTACGTGTTTAAGAGCAATTTTTCTCCCTCAAATCCGAATTTCGTGCAAGAATTTCTTTTCCCACATACAATGAGCTTGAAGTTTTTTCTTTCCAGTAGATAATAGTTTAAGCAAAATTTATATAGAACTTTATTTGTGCTTGAGATTTTTACTTCCTACTGTTTTTAGAATCAATTGAGTTCAAAACGATATTTCTTACATAAAATATTATTCCTTATCAAACTTACATTTTAACTAAAATGTATATTTACTAAACATTTAACTAAAATTATAAATAATTTAATTAAATTAGTATGTAGTACTTTATAGTTGAGAGTAAGTATTCTTTGAACGAATATCTGTAGATGTATACTTTATGCCGTAAATCGTTTTATTATTTTGTCCATCTGACTTTTACTTACATGTACAAAGTAAAGGATGTATCGAATCGCAAAAAATTTCGGGTATTATATTTTAACGGAAACATTCATTTTGACCGTGCCCGAATTCATTTTGAATATTTTTTTGCGTAATTTGTGTACGTACGAATAGAATAAAGGACTCTTTTCCTCGAACGGATTGTAAAATGGATTTAAAAGGATTTTTTTGTGACGTCCGTACGTACGTATATATCTCGCATATTTGAAAAACAATTAGCCGTAGAACGTTAAATTTTGTGTATGGGATTCTACAGCATCTAGTTATGCACTTCGCTTTCTTATTGCCATCGGCAGTATATATATGTAAAAGTAGCAAGACAACATGAATTAGAGAGACCTTAGTGGTCAAGAATTTTGCGCATTGAGCTGCAAATTTTTTTAAAATTTTATAAGTAAGAGGAAAGTTTAAAAGCTAATGCTAAAAAGTACATTTGACACTATAGTTCTTAGCAAAAATGTAAAATCATGTAACAAGTAGAAAGAATATTAAAGTAGTAAAAGTTATCTCGTAAAAATTAAATGTAAAAATTACAAATCGAGATGACTTCAAAATCAAAAAGGGTGAGAAAAAATTAAGAAATTTTAACGCACAAATAATTTTAAAAATAACTCTTATAAAAATTAAATACATTTTTAAATACACAGTAAATGTGTACGCAAAATTGCAATAAATGGTAAATAGCTCAACTCGAGGTGTGAGCCGGATTTATCAAGGGAAAAGCAGCTCAAAACTCGTATTAAGTTAATACCTATAGCGCGTTTCCTCAAACGATAATAATTGAGACTATAAACTTAATTTCACTAATAGAACAGTCCAACTTAATAATCTAAAAAAGTTTAGTAAGTCTTCAATTATATCGCTCGTTTTCTCGACGCGCTGTACTTTAAATTGTAAATGTAAAACTTATTATTAAACAACAAAAAGCTCTACAAGAAAGCCTAGTTAGGCAAACCTACAATTAAAATAAATAGCTAAAAAGCTGTTAGTCCAAAAATTACACAATTTTAAGGGATACAACCTGTAGCCTGAAAATTATGTACTTTTTAAGTGGAAGAATCAAAAGAAGCATAATAAAAACGTGTCGAAATGGGTCTTGAAAAGACCAAAGAAGGATACAAAAAAAGGACGAAACATACTTTATATATAAAGTATGTCCTTATAAAAGGACGAAACATACAATCATTTTATGTTGAACAGACCAGAGCGGTGGTCTGTTCAACATAAAATGATCGAAATTGCTGCAAAGGTTTGCCGTAAAAAGAAGCATTCTAAATGAGTGCTACTAGAAAAGTAAAATAGTTAAAAGTTCTTCAATATGGTGAAGCTTCGTAGAAGGAGGAAACTAACGTAAAGAAGAAATAGCCAATGGAAAGCAATGGCCAAATGGGAAAAAAAACTTGTATTTTTAGATGAGGGTGTAAGAAGTGAATGACATTGGCTATTTTTAACAAAATGGCGTCTTGTTCAAAACTGTGTCGTGAAAAAATGTGAAGCTAAAAACAAAATGGCTGACTTCTAAGAAAGTGCTTATCTGGCCGAAAGAAGTTGAAATTGGAAAAATTAGCAATTTATTAATAAAAAGTCGTAATTCTTCGCGCTAGAGGGCGGACAAGCGTTTTTGAAATGAAAATAGCCCTTAAATTAATAAAAGAATAGGTATGGCCAGAAAACAGCAATCATAAATAATAAATTTAATAATGTAACTGAATGTATGTGCCAATTAAGAGAAAAATTGAAGCAATAGAAGAAAACTATGTTACATTTTTACATTAGATCAATTAAATTAGCCATCCATCAGTTACCTTCCCTTGGGATTTAAGTAAAAATTTCAGTATCTAATTAAAATATCTAAAATAAGAGGTAAATGCCAGCTTTCTTTAAAGAAAGAATTTTTAATGATAGCTTTTGGAATAAGATTGCTTTGTAAGTGTTTCTTCTTGAAGGAGGTCTGCGTTATACAGATTCTTTTAATTCTAAGATATTGTGCATTAATTGTATTGATAATGACTTTTTTAGAAATATTAGAAAAACAGTTAGTAAGTTTTAGTGTATGAAAATTGAAGTCTTTGCGTTTGTCAAATATTTTAATAAGATTGTAATTAAGAATTTGAAGATCTAGGTAAACAATATCATTTTGAATAGTATTATTTGCATTTTCTGGTTTGTTAAAGTTGTTAAGGGCAATAACATCATCAATATATCGAAAAATGTGTTGGTAATATTTTCGTTCTTCAAGATTAAGTAAACGTACAAACTTAAATTCTTGCGTGAAAATGAATAGCCCACAGAATGCAATTGAGCAGTTTCCGCCCATAGGTATTCTCTGTACTTGCTTAAAGAGTGTGCTATCAAATTGAAAATAATTGTTAAAAAGTACACTTTTGAGGAAAAGTTTTCTTCTTCCAGAGAAATTATTGTAAGAATCTGCGCAAAGGAACTGGAGAGAATAAGTAGGCTACTATGAATTTCTTCTAAAGGTAAAGTGGTATAAAGGTTTTCGAAGTCGTAACACTGAATATATTCTATTTCAAGCAAATTTAAAATCTCGAGAATTTTTTCGTTGTTACTAATCATCCAATCGCAATGTAGATCTTGAAAATCGTAATTATTAACAACATCCAGAATTAGAGTAAGTTTCCGGGCAAAGAATCTCAGATATAGATACTTTTATATATTTTGTATATACCTGTATACATATTTAAATGTTAGTCCCTAACAGATATTTTCAATTAAATTGTCTATTGAAAATATATCTTACAAGGCAAAATTATTTTTTAAAAAAATTCTGTAGTAATTTTTTTCCTTCCGCCCTTTTTTTGTTTGTTTTGTAGTCCAGCCTCGCGTTTTGGACCTCCTGCAAGCAATCCGAATACCATTCGCCTCTCAGGGAGTGGATTTTTTGATCGGTCCCGATGGATTTCCTGCCTTTCGACTGGACCAAGAAGCTGACGTTAAAGCGCCTTACAGACTTCATTTGCCACCCACCTTATTCCGAGATTTTACTATTGGGGTTACTCTGCTTCCCAGTAATTTCAGTGGAGGATACGTCTTCGCAGGTTTGTTTGACCAATAAAGTTGGAAATTTTCCCAAAATTATTTTATTTGCAGAAATTATACCTGGAAATGAAGAATAAAGTTACAAATAGCTGTAGGAGAATATATAGGTTATTTATTATATGGAATAATGAAGATCTTATACGTTTTTAGAATGATTTCAGGCTAATTAATTCATTTTTAAAATGTAAAAAATATTTTCTTTTATGTTTGATCTAATAGCTTTTTTTCTGCACTATAAGTTAGCACTGTCATTTTTATGATAGAAGACCTTTTCGTAATATTTCGAAGGGTATCAGATTGTATAATTTTCTCCCTTCATTTTCGATAATAAGCAGGCATTTTTTTTTTTTTTTTTTTTTTTTTGTTGCAGTCATTTAGGTTGCAGTCTGTAACAATGTATTTCCTGCAAAATAGTTTTTCATATAGGTTATACAAACTATCTAGCGTTGAGCCGCATGCCTCGAGAAAAGCTGGTGAATATTATGTTTTTTAAAGTTTTGTTTCTTCTTTCTTCGTAAATCTTTGTTGATTATTTTATTTATTATTCTTACAGATGTATTTAAAGATTTTGCAATTGATTTTTGCGTCGGCGTATTTTTAATTGTTACCAAAGATTTAACTTTATGAACATCAGAAACAGTACATACTTTTCTCAAGTATTCTTTTGGAGCCTTCTTTTCATGTAGAAAACGATTTTCGCCTTCCATTTAATAACATTGCTTATTTTGTACATGGAAATTTTAATATCACGCATTTTAATATGATTTTGATTTATGAAGTAGGAAAATTTCTCTTCGGAAAGCGCTGAAAACATATCCTTAAATCCACAGCTTGTTTACATGAGACATTTTGAAAGAAGAATGAATTTAAAATTAGCAGAGCGTATTTCTTGTTTCAAATAATAAGCTTTTGCCAAAAATTTGTCAAAACATTTGCTTTGTATTTATTCTTTATTGAAATCGTTCTTAAAATGTATAAACACCCTCTGTACGATAGCCACTTTCACTTTCTATTTTGCTTTGTGTTCTTTTTTATCATTTTATTCCACTTTTAAAATATTCTGAGGATATAAAGGTTCTGAGGATTGTTATCGTGACATTTTTTAGAAATATTTATGCTGATAATAAATAGTTAAAACGAATGACGAAACGATCATATTAATGCACAGATTAGATTAGTTAGCTAATTGGAATTAACAGGTTTTTCCTTTCTTGAAATTTAGAAAGCAAGAAATTGTTCAGTTTGCAACATTTTCTATGGCTCTTAGAAATTCATTCAAGTAGAGTTGATTGTTTAGTTTCTGAGAAGCTCTCAAATTTGTAAAACAGGAGCATGGCACAAATAGTCGTCACCATACTCAACAAATGTTTTGAGTGATATATTTGTAATACAAAATCTTTCGAATAACTCGCAGAAAGATTGTTGGTTTTCAAGTGTTACATTAGGAGTCTGCTAATTTTATGTGATCCTCTTTCCTCTATACTTATTAGCAGCTGAGCGGTACACTATTCCGACTTGGGTTGGATTCTAAATGAACAGGCTGTCTGCATGAGCGTTTTCCTGGTTTTTCCGATGTATAACATGTATACGAGCCAGTTTTCCTTCGAAAGTTTTCCATGGAGGCATACCTTTCCTTAGGCAAATAGATTTAATAATTAACTAAACCAAACCATCCTCTATCCTTATTAGCACAGTTCTTTTAAACACGTTCTTCCTTATTAGAAACAGTTTCTTGTTGTCGAAATAAAGAGATGTTTCCAGATTGTTAGCCCCCAAAACTGCCGATTGTAGGTAAATCAGTTTGCAAGAAATTTTTTCCTTCCTTACCGCATGCCTTCATTGTAGAATAAGAAGCACACCTATCTGGCAGTCGGAAAGCCTGAATCCCGAGGAGGTCACTGACAAATTTTCGTGTTTCCTCATTTGAAATGACTGAAAAAGTGGCGTTTGAACTAAAATTTGGTGGATTGTAATTCATCTACACCTAAATTTGGTGCCTGGATCCCACCTTCCGACTGGCAGTTTTAAGTATGGAGATTATAAAGAGTTTTCTCTTTCCTTACCGCTTATCGTGGTGATATAATTAGACGCATCTCCGGGTGGCAATCGGAAGTTCCGGAGTTCGAATCCCGAAGAGGACATGGCTGATATTTCGTGTTTCCTGCTTAGAAAACTCAAAACTTCTATTCTGAATATGAAAGTAATTAGTTTTCGATGAATAATAAAATCTTCTGTTGCATACGCTATAAAATTTAAAGATCAAATAGCGAAATATTTTCAAATATGCATCCTACATCCGAGACGAAACTGAAATGTGTGTAACATAATATGTATTCGAGACATAAAGAAGATTCATATAACAATGGAGACACAATGTTTTGAATTTCTTTACTTAATATCACACTGTTTTTGCATGAGTCCCTAGAGCGGTATGGAGGATGTCTAATGGATGCTGGATTTCTCTCCAGGTATCTTTTAGCATCTGAGATCCTTTTAGGCCGTTCCCACTGGAGTTTATCTTAGCTGACGGAGTCAGTTCCATGTATCGTCTAGCTCCGCTATGCCTGCAGTTCAGATTTTTCAACTTGCTGTCATATGGGGAAAAAATCGTTTTGGAAATGGGTCGGCTACATCAGTTGTGTTCGTTAGCTCAGATAAACCCCAGTGGGAACGTTTCTTTAGAGCTGAAGAATGTCTTTGGCAAACATTGCTCTTTTGGGTTTATTGTCAGGCTTCACCTCAAGTAACAGTTTCAATTTGTAAGCATGAAGCTTTAGGCGCTTGTGTAGAATCATCGTTGATATTTGATTTAGGGACACCAAGCTCACATGACGCCATACGAATGGATTTCTTAGGACTTCTAGCAAACGTATCTGAAATGCAATTAACAAATGTTTTATTAATGTTTAACAAATGTTTATTACTCAACAAATGTTTTATTAATGTTTAACAAATGTTTATTACTCAACAAATGTTTTGAGTGATATATTTGTAATACAAAAATCTTACGAATAACTCGCAGAAAGATTGTTGGTTTTCAAGTGTTATATTTTTGATGGTCCACCAGCATGTCTCTCAGCAACAGATAATGCCTCTAGAAACGCTGCTTTCCACGCCTTGGTTGTCTAGGTATCGGGAGGTTTCCTATGGTATTCTGCTAGCAAACTTTTTTAAACTGCAATAATGGTACCTAGTTCTGCATACCACCACATGGTTTATGCGTTTTCAGCATCTACTGCCATTTTTCAGTTTTTTTGGGGGGAGGGGGTAAAATTTTTCACATTCTTCGGTTTTAGCATATCCAATAAAAATGAATTTAATTATAAATATAAATTTCCACAGCTAATCTTCCATTTCACACCTGACAAAATTGTCTGAGATGTTTAAAATATTCATAAAAAATGTTGCAAATCAAGATGTTTCGTTTCGCACACCCTGTGTTTTTAGTTGAATGTTTTAACAAAAATTTATACTTATTTTTCTTACAGTTGTGAATCCAACTGAAACGGTTATTCAGTTGGGACTTAAAGTAGCCGGATTCAATGAATCAACATTCAATGTGACGTTGTACTACACTGATGTGGATATGCACCTCACACCTCAAGTATTAGTCACTTTTGCAGTGCCTGATTTTGTGGGAGTGTGGACAAGGTCAGAAGCCATTTTATATTATACCTCTCGTATGGAATACTTTTAATTTTTGATGCGATTTCTCTATGATCTACCTTTTTTTAATTGCTTACTAGCAGAATTTCTGAGGTTTCATTGAAGAAATTTAACTGTATTATAAATGTCAAGTATTCAAAAGTTATGCATTCCTCCCTAATTTTTACATTTTAGTTTATTTTTAACTACGACCTATGATATTATGAGTATAATTAAAATATTATGAAAGTAGCCAGATTAGATTTGACCGTAATGTTCAAGCGAGGAATATTTCATTTGAATTTATTTGCTCTCTCTTTGTAAAAGTAGTTATCAAATAAAGAAACTCCGATCAGTATCAATGTTTCTTAAGGTTGCGTTTCATAGTCGTAACATAACAAATAAAGGCGTAGCCTTTTCCCTCTGAAAACCTTTTTATAGTGCAGTACTAGTTAATACTAATTAGACTATAGGCGTTGTCATGTTTTGTGAATAGTGTAACGATTTTAATTGTTGAAACTTTTTAGAGAGACTGAATTGTTTGCTTGTCCATTTAAAGCATCTGTCTTAGTAATTTTGTGATACTAGGTTTTTTTATAAATAAACTAGCGGCATATGACACTGTACAAAATACACGATTAAGCCTTTATGGACGACCGTGTTGAAAGAATCAGCGGGCTGACTAAAAGAAACCGATGGACATTGTAATGGTTGTAACCTCGAAAAGAAGATATACAGTTAAAGTGACTACGCAGCTCCAGTTTGTGTCCGCAGGCGTTCAGCAATTACAGCTAGAAGAAACTACACGAATGGAACATTTCCACGTACCGCAGCACTTGTAACAGATTTGAATGATAAATGCTATCTCTGTGGTAAGCTAGCACAAATATTGATTGAGTGATATATATAATAGGTTAAATTAATTTACTTTCACATTGTTCCCCACGGAAGGACTAAGCAGTTCTGCAGAATATCTGAAGTCGGGTATGGAGGAGGATCTGTCTTAATTTGGACTGCCATCTATGGTTTTATGTAAGAAATAACTTTCCAGGATTATGTAGAAAGTTTAGCCAGTTAGGTCTATCGGATATGCAAATACTACCTCGTGCAACAAAAACATTTTCAGGATTCCTTTCATTCATACAACTAGACAAGTTCAGTCATAAGGACCATGAAAACGAAATAAAACATTTTCTTTGGACCATGCGATCCCAAAATATTAATGTCGTCTGTGATCTATTTTGGAGAATAAAGTGAGGAATCAATATCTGTCATCAAGATCTCTTCAAAAGCTTGTTTCTGATAATAGTAATGATTTCTATCATCTGCGTTTTTGACGAACAGTTGCAAATCTACTATTTAGAACTTGCCGATTCTTAGTCGAGTTCAGGTTATATTACATAGCAAATATAGGTCTACGCCTTATTGATGAAATATTTGTGTAGATATTTAATGTTTCTATCCTTTTGATAACCACATGTATAATTTGTTGCGCCGTCCAAGCGGGATTGGTTAGCGATACTGACTGCCTTATCGAAGGGCCCGGGTTCGAATCCCGGAGAAGGCATGGATGTTTGTAAATGTAAAATGTCTGTGCGAATTGGGGGCACTCTAAATATGCGGTGAGCCGAAAGTCCTCTTGAGAGGTTTTGGTACGAGAAGAGATGTGACAAACCCTCAGACCCATCCCCCCGGGGTTTTCGTCATCAAAATTAGGGGCTGAACTGAGCAAAGTCGTACTGTCACCTGTATGATGCTCAAGGCTTTTGCCAACGACAGACGCAATCTTGCACTTCTTGCCACGATGAATTTCGTGGGCTTGTTCTGATGCTATTGTCAGACAAGTGAGATAAGTCAAAACAACAACAGTAATAATTTGTTACACTTTACAGCTAAAGACCGGAGGGAGAAAACGATTTATATCCATTGACAATAATTTCGAGAAAAATAAATCTTTCGTATGTGCAACTTCAATAATAAAGAAAATATTTGTATTGTAAGCAAAAAAAAAAAATTATATATGCAAAATCTGAAAGAATCGGATTAATTTTTTTTTCAATGTGTTTGAAATTCTTTTTCATCCAATTTCTTCTGTTAATCTTAGAAAACAAAGATTCTTCGTTTCATGATTTTTTCTTTTTCTTCAAATGAAGTTCTTTTTCCGTACTTTTATTTTTCAGGTCTTAAATCAGTTTTGCATTTTCTTGTCCTTAGAGAATTTTTTCGATTTTTAGGCAAGCATATCAATTTCTACTTTAATATATCACAACTGTTCTTTCTTGGGTAATCTAATTCGATGTTGAACTTATAAATAAAAATATCTCTGAATTTATTGTATGACAAACTGTTCGTTTTAAATGTCGTTTAATCACTAGGTCACTAGGTGTCGCGTAATTTTATGATAATTAACAATTCTTTTTTAAGGAATAATGGTACTTTTTCCCTTGAAGGAGTTGTTAAATTCGATTAATTTAGAAGTAGTTTCCTCAGGAATAGTTTGTTTTCGGTTTGTATGTTTTCCTCTGTGGTCTACGGTGTTTCCTGTCAACACTTCAATGCTTCTCTTATTTTTTATTTCGAACTTTTGTAATGCCGTGGAATGAAGCAAAGGCGTTTAAACCAACTTAACTCATTGTTACATTGCCCGTCTTGGGAAAAACGTGCTCAATAACAGTAAGAGGCAATGGGTGATGATCCCTCATTTCCCAAACGAGAGCATCGAAGGCAAAAGAGTTCTGTGTCCGGCGAGATGATGATTTTGAGTATTATTATTCCTAAATTCATTAAGAGCTTTGAAAATTCTTTGTTTTTGACTCTCACAAAAGGAAAACACTGAAAAAGTTGGTGCTCACAGTCAGGTCCAAATTCAAGTGTGGTTGCTCATAAAAGTTTTATAAAATCATGGATTCTAGCTGTTTTCGTTCTCTTCTTGGTAGCTAATTCCGCCATTGAACGGAGCCTGCACTGGAATCCTCACTTTGCACGTTAATAGGAATTGCTGGACGAAATGAACAGGTCATCGTTGCAAGAGACAACAATGAACATCAGTAAGCCTGATAAAGGAAGTTGTACATGAATGCTTCTTTCTTCCGCGTGGACAAACTTTTCTAGGTTACAGTTACAGAGTATACTTTTTATTCTAAACCGATTTATAACATAAAAGCTATTCCTATTTCCCACTAGATGGCATTATTACTTAAGTTTTCAAAAAAAAAAAAAATTATAAATGCTTTCCCCCTTCCCGGTTTATTTTTCTGTTCTGTTTATTTTTTAACAAATTTGTTTCTGTTCAAATGTTTCTGTTCATTTGTTTTGTTCTTGTTTCTGTTTAACAAATTTATTTCTGTTGTTTTATGTTAACTGTTTATTTTTCTGTTCTATAATATATAGCATAGTTTTATATTTAGTGCAGAATTTCATTTTTTCATTTCAATAAAAACAACCATTTTTCTTTTGTAGATTAGCTCTGAGGGTTGCAAAAAACAATATAACTTTATATTACAACTGTGAAGAATTTTCCACTGCCGTAGTTAAAAGGATACCTAAAAAATTAGTTTTCGATACAGCATCTACTTTATATATCGGGCAAGCCGGTCCTTTGCTCACTGGCCATTTTCAGGTTCGTATTTTTTCTATTCTTGTTCATTAATTTTTCTGATTTAATCACATATTGTCATACGAATAACAAGTGATGATTTAGTCGAAAGGTATAGCTCCATTCGTTCTTAAGTTTTCTTTTATTTCACTAAAGTCTGCTGAACAGCATCGTGATACTAACATACGCAAAATCACCAATTCTTTGTAAGACTAAAAGAGGCAAGGAGATAGGTCGGCATTTTAGCTTCTGAAGATTATAATAATTTCATTCAAGTTATTGATGGAAAGCAAGAGAAAAAATTTCTTATAGCTGCACCGATCTCGAAAAGCTTTATAGCTTTTTTAAATGCATTTTGCTTTATTATTTGGCTTAATAATATAATTTTTTAGAATTACTTATCTACTTAAATAAATTACAGAACAAAGTTTTATATAAAATGAAATGTTATATGCGTCATAAGGCAATTTGATAACAATATGTACATGATTTCATTCTTTGAAAAATTAAACATTGCACAGATTGGCCCAATAATCCCTAGACCGTTTTAAACTGAAACAATATTTTTATTTATTAATAATATACATTTATTCTTTTATATACAAAGAACACATTTCTCGGAAATAAATTTTATTTTATTTTGAAAATTAGCTCTTTTAAATGACCACCATTTTGCTCTTCCTATTGAAGCGCTCTTTCTAAAGAATAAACCATGACATGTCGTAACGTATCTTGGCTTATTTCTGCAATTTCTTTACGGATGTTGGTCTCCAGTCACTGAACGGTTTGAGGATCGCCAAGAGATACTCTTTTTTTCAAATTACGTCCACAGGAAGCTGTCAGAAGCAGGTGAGCCTGGCGGCCATTTCATTTCAGAGTTCCGCGAAATTACATTTCTTTCAAAAATTTGTCTTAAGAATCCAAAACTTCCAAAAATTTGTTCGACCACTGAAGTTTTTCCTATGGGAGTAATTTGAAAGAAAGAGTATATAGTAACAATTTTTGAACAATTCAAGTAACTGAAAGCCAAAAAAGGGTGTTGGTTTACTCTATGGAGAACTATAAGATATCAGCCAGATCCAAGAGATGGCACTACCAGCTTTCTCTCTCTCTTGTCTAGTTGGGAAGAAAATTTCAGATTGATCCCGGACATCAGAGTCCCGCTTTAGCAGAACTTATGCTTCATGAATGCATAGTAGCCATTTTTTCAGCATGGTAACCTTCGTCGCTTGGCGACGAAAACAAATTTCAGCCACGCATAATCAACTGCTGAGGTATGTGTGTTCTGTGTTGACGATGAGAATAATCTGTTTCAATTACAGTTGCCAATACTGGAATTTACAGTTGAATTAAACTAGTTTTCTGAGTCAGAATTTACAAATTTCGAGTCTTTAACAAATAATCGTAGAAACAAAGATGCAGAGAAAAATATAATTATTGACTAATGATGCAGACCAGAAACTGGATGATGCAAAAATGACCTTTTATGAGCGGGAACGGAAAAAATATAAAACTGCCATCAAAATAAGTTCGAACCGTTTATCTGTAACCATACAATACCCAGCACTGCTCCTTGCGATAACGTCTGCACAAAAGAAGTGAGGTAAAATTGAAGACACCTACAATGGAGAAGAAAATGTTCCTATATTTAGAAACTGTGCTGGAGAGACGATGATGTGAAAAAGCAATTATATATATGGTAGATCTAACACATAGAATAGATGTGCTGCGTAGAGTTTAGAAAAGTAATCTTCTGAAAGAATTTCATAGTTTCAGATTTCAGCAAAATTTGGTGCATAATTTGTTTTGCCATTACGGTAGAAATTTTCATTTAGCTTACTGAGATGGTCCTTAAAGTAATCAATCGTACGTCTTTTGCAGATTCTTGTTTCTGAGAAATCAAAGGCCTCCGGTATAATAAGATACAGAAATTTATACCGAAAAATTTAGAACTTATTAATTTCCTTTTCCTCTCCCATAGTATCTTTAGTCGCCAATCTCATGATACATCGCCAACAGAGTATATTATTTCTAGAAAGGACTTAAATGATAAACATAGCACATTAAAAACATACATAAAGACATACTAATGTTATTATATTATGTATTTTAAAACACTTGTATAACTCAATAATATTCCTTTTACTTACACAGAATAATTTCCTATTTGTGTGTATATTTTACATTGTTGCTATAAATCAGAAGTTTCTAAATCATACGCTGTGAAAACTAAGGGGGAAAATATACGGGTAAAGATGCTATATCCGAAATCAAAGTGACATAGTGAATAAATACATTATGATTTACACTTTTGGAAATGGGAAATAAAAGTCTTTGATCGTTGGAAAAACCCGTGTGGAGTGGACTTGATATTTTAGAATTTGCGTGACCGAATTATGGAGACGATATGTTTAAGTCGTATCAGTGATGTTTTCAAACGTGTAGAAGGGCATTGATGAAAGGTTCTATTTTGGGTTAAGATTATTTTGAAATTTCAAAGATTTTTTTTCACTGTATGATTTTATTTTTTTCTACATTTTAAGATTAAGTTTGCATTTTTATTAAAGATTCTTTTCATGTTAGAAAAATCTTTTTAAATTGGAAGATATTTTTAATGATTTTACTTTGTACTTTTGCCATTTTTATTTAGAACTAATTTTACAAAGACCAAAGTTTGTAATTCATAAGTAATAAATTACATAAAATCCAATAAATGTAAAAAAGAATTTAATCAATGTTAACACCAAAACTTTTAAACAAGTAATACCCTAATTTTAAAAAAAATCAATGAAATTTAAAGAAACGAACATAATAGAATAGAAATTCTACCAACTTCAATGCTACTATGTCAGGAGGAGGAACACTGAAATCAATTGAAATCTCTCTTCCACAAAAAATTCTTGCTTTTTATATCCGGAATCCGCTGAACCATTCCAATGTATTTCAATTATTCAACCGAATATTTTGGATTTGACATTGTTTTACATGTAATATCAGGAATTAGATAGGATGTTCAAATGTTCTTTACGGCCCTTGCTAGGTTTCTAACCTGCCTTTTTCTTACATCTCTCTCTCTATATATATAATAAAAAGTATGAAAGCAAATTTCTAATTTTAATTGGCTATAATCTCTTTTATTTTTTATTTGATTTGGGGACTTCCTCTTTCTATCTTAAAAATAGCTCTATAGTCTAATCTGCGTCATTCAAATTAATCATGCGATCCTTCGTAGCGCTTAATGCAGAAACCTCTTGCTCAATCATCAAATAATTATAAACCAAAACATTTTAACTCAAACTGAAACTTTTTTACTCTCTCCCTTCTTCCTCTGAATTGCTGCAACACTTTCGCGTATACTTCCTTCCTGGCAAAACGCCTTGCGGCTACCTTCTTTGTTCACTGAATATGTGCTGAGCTAACAAAAATGTTGAGCGCATAAGGCGCACGTCTGTACGTGAACCATATACAGGGTGCGTCAGAAAAAATGTATACGCAGTTTAAACTGTCAGAGAAAATTTACTTTCCAATTGACAAGGTTAAATTTCTGGGAAAAGTTGGGCTACAGTCCAATATGAAAGGTCTGGAGAGCGCGCAGGAAACTTGATTGCTCATCTGCGTTATATCCACTGGCCTGGTACATTTTGATCCAGGTATTGCACATGCCTGTGATAGTGCGAAGAGGCGCCATCTTGTTGGTAATAAAACATAGTAATACCGTACATTACAGAATATCAGAGAAAATGGAACTAGCAAGCATTGTTAGGTACTTTTCTCCAATTGCATAACCTTCAAAATTAAAAGGTCGATTGATTACCCTTTACGATAAACCACACTACACTTTTGCACCAGGCAAATTTACAGCCTTTTTAACAGTAATGTGGGGATTATCTTCAATACAGTACACACAATTATGCCTATTGACAATTCGATTAAGTTTAAATTACGCTTCAGCCGGCGAAACAATATTACCCATAAATCCCGGGGTACCCATGAATCCTCCTGAACCCAGATGTAAATATCTCCTGAATCCATTTACAAAATTGGACCCGACCGCCATCGAAATGTGTCGTAAACCACGTAACCTTGTAGAGATATTAGGTATTTTTTAGAAGCAGGAAAGATGAAAAATTAGCAAATGCTTTCGTCGGGAATCGAACCACGGACCTCTGGAATACCGGCCCAGCGTGCAGAACCAATACACCACGAAGGCAAGCTAGGAAGGCTGGAGAAATACCTTATATACTCCCCCTTTTAAAATGTGTTTTTATGGGACCCAATCGCCAAATCCTGGGTGAGGAATCATCAATCCCCACCCTTTAGTTCGGGCGCCACTGTAGAGACATTAGGTTAATTGAAAAAGCCGGAGAGATGAAAAATGAGCAATCGCCTTCGTTGGGAATCGAACCACGGACCTCTCGAATACGCGTTGAGCGTTCTGACCGTTACACCACGAAGGAACGCTAGGAAGGCGGGAGAAATACCTTATAACCTTTACACACTTTGGGATGAGATTCAATCGATGTGCATTGAAATACCATTGGACATTTTGGTGCAAAGTATGAAATCAGTCCTGATTCGAATTCAGAAATGTATCGATGCTGAAGATTACCGTTTGAACATTTACTTTAAATACCATCTACAACATTAAGTTTGTCCAGAAAGTACACTTATTTTTCAAATTGGAACATAACTTTACCATTCCGAGAAATTTAACCTTGTAGGTAGGAAAATAAATTTTCTATGAGAGTTCAAAGTGTGTATACATTTTTCTGACGCACCCTGTATTGCGAATCCAGAATTGCTTTCCTGATTAATAAAGTATTCTTGAATCCGGTCAGGTTTACCCTGCCAAGTTTTTTTCGCTGGGCATCTATTACGCCACCACCAAGTTTCCTATCAGCTCACCATCATGACATATACATAACAATGCGAAAATCTGTGAAAAGTATGTGTATTTTACATACATTACAGCCGAGCCAACCTGCAACCAAGTCTGCCAACTAGTGAGCGTGAAGGGGAAGGAT